GGAGACCCAGGAGGACCCCACTGCTGACACAGAAACATGGGAGGAGACCCAGGAGGACCCCACTGCTGACACAGAAACATGGGAGGTGACAGACCCAGGAGGACCCCACTGCTGACACAGAAACATGGGAGGAGACCCAGGAGGACCCCACTGCTGACACAGAAATACACAGAAATATGGTAGGTGATCCAGGAGGACCCCACTGGTGACACAGAAATATGGTAGGAGACCCAGGAAGACCCCACTGCTGACACAGAAATATGGTAGGAGACCCAGGAGAACCCCACTGGTGACACAGAAATATGGTAGGAGACCCAGGAGGACCCCACCGCTGACACAGAGATATGGTAGGAGTCCCAGGAGGACCCCACTACGTGACACAGAAGTAATATGGTAGGAGTCCCAGTGACACAGAAATATGGTAGGAGTCCCAGGAGGACCCCACTGCTGACACAGAAAATATGGTAGGAGACCCAGGAGGACCCCACTGGTGACACAGGAACATATTGGAAGCCAGATTGGAGTTTGCCAAAACTTACCAAAATTCTTCTCGGACAATGTGCTGTGGACAGACAAAACAAAATGTCAGTGTCACAATATAGGTGCTCTGGCAGCCCCAATTATTCATTTCTTCCTTAATCCCATACTTAATTCCTTGTGCCCAAATGAAGTACATCCTTAATTAATTCCTTACGTTCTTGTGCCAAATGTTCCCAAATTCAATCAATGCATTTCCCCCCTCTCATCCTGCCAAATGTTCCCAAAATTCAGTCAATCTATTTCCTCCTCCACTGTCATTCTGCTTTATGTTCCCAAATTCAATTAATGCCTTTCCTCCCCCTGCAATAATGCATTCCAACCCAAACTTCGTTAACAATTTCCTCTCTGTCATTTGTGTATTCTAGCCCAAACTTTGTTAACCACTCCCCCCCCTTTCAGGATGACCGCCCCCCACTGCTGCCTCTCGTCCTGCCTCGGTTCTTTGAAGCTGATCCTCATTGCCCAGCAACAAGGCATGCCGTCCACGGCCCGCCCCTGGTTTAAGAGACCGTTGCTGGGCTCTTCCCGATCCTCCTCCTCTGCTGCGCAGCCATCGAGGGAGCCCAGCTGCGGCGGGACCCCTCATGGCTAAACTCTGCCAAGACCCCAAGGATAAAGGGGAGACCGCACGCCACCCCTGCCTGAGACCCCAGCCAGAGAGGAGACCACACGCTAGCCCTGCCTGAGACCCCAGCCAGAGAGAGACCCACACGCTAGCCCTGCCTGAGACCCCAGCCAGAGAGGAGACCCCTGAGCCCAGAGAGGAGAGACCGCATGCAAGCCCTGCCTGAGACCCCAGCCAGAGGGGAGACTGCACGCTAGCCCTGCCTGAGACCCCAGCCAAGGGAGAGACCACACGCATACTCCGAACTCCAGCAGGTACCTGTGTCATACTATCTTGTCCCCTGGGAGACCAGGCACCCTGTTGGATCTGTGAGTCCATACTTCCCCTGTTTTGCCTGAACTGTTCTTGAACTGTTCCTCTGCCTCACGGTTGGATTACAAACTGTCTGCAGAGATTTTAACTTGCCCTTGGGGCTGGACTACAAGTGTTTTGGCCCTCTCCTTACTATTCCCCTAGTGGCGAGGTCACCCTCTCTGCAATCCCTCCATTGAGTGACTGTCATTTTGTCTCAATAAAGCTTTGTGTGTTCTGTCCTGCCTACCCTCCATCACAGTCAACTTTTGGTAAAGCCCATCATTCTACTGTTTTCAGAAAAAAGCAATGAGGCCTTTAAAGAAAAGAATCCAGTCCCTCCAGTCACACATGGTGGGGGGTCACAGTCCCTCCAGTCACACATGGTGGGGGGGGGTCACAGTCCCTCCAGTCACACATGGTGGGGGGGGTCACAGTCCCTCCAGTCACACATGGTGGGGGGTCACAGTCCCTCCAGTCACACATGGTGGGGGGGGTCACAGTCCCTCCAGTCACACATGGTGGGGGGGGTCACAGTCCCTCCAGTCACACATGGTGGGGGGGGTCACAGTCCCTCAGTCACACATGGTGGGGGGTCACAGTCCCTCCAGTCACACACATGGTGGGGGGGTCACAGTCCCTCCAATCACACATGGTGGGGGGTCACAGTCCCTCCAGTCACACATGGTGGGGGGTCACAGTCCCTCCAGTCACACATGGTGGGGGGGTCACAGTCCCTCCAATCACACATGGTGGGGGGTCACAGTCCCTCCAGTCACACATGGTGGGGGGGGGGTCACAGTCCCTCCAGTCACACATGGTGGGGGGGTCACAGTCCCTCCAGTCACACATGGTGGGGGGTCACTGATGTTTTGGGGTGGCTTTGCTGCTTCAGGCACTGGATGTCTTGGCCGTGTATATGGCATTATGAAATCTGAAGACTATCAAAGAATTCTGGGGTGCAATGTAGGGTCCGGTGTCAGGAAGTTGGGTCTCCAGTGTCAGAGGTCAGGGGTCTTCCAGCAGGACAATGACCCCAAAGCACACGTCACAAAGCCCCCAGAAATGGTGTCAGACAAAGCGCTGGAGAGGACTGAACTGGCCAGCAATGAGTCCAGATCCCCATCCCATAGAGCTCCTGTGGAGAGCAGAGGTGTGGAAATTATTTTGGGAATTGTGTGTGAAGCCGTGTAGCAGTGAAGGGGTTAGGTGTAGGCGGGCCGTGGGGGGTCTGTTGTAGCTGGGTGTGTGAAGCCGTGTAGCAGTGAAGGGGTTAGGTGTAGCGGGCTGGGTCTGGCGTGTGAAGCCGTGTGGCAGTGAAGGGGTTAGGTGTAGCGGGCTGGGTCTGGCGTGTGAAGCCGTGTGTGGCAGTGAAGGGGTTAGGTGTAGCGGGCTGGGTCTGGCGTGTGAAGCCGTGTGGCAGTGAAGGGGTTAGGCGTAGCGGGCTGGGTCTGGCGTGTGAAGCCGTGTGGCAGTGAAGGGGTTAGGCGTAGCGGGCTGGGGCTGGCGTGTGAAGCCGTGTAGCAGTGAGGGATTAGGCGTAGCAGGCTGGGTCTGGCGTGTGAAGCCGTGTAGCAGTGAAGGGGTTAGGTGTAGAGGGCTGGGTCTGGGTGTGAAGCCGTGTGGCAGTGAAGGGGTTAGGTGTAGCGGGCTGGGTCTGGCGTGTGAAGCCGTGTGTGTGAAGGGGTTAGGTGTAGTGGGGCTGGGTCTGGCGTGTGAAGCCGTGTAGCAGTGAAGGGGTTAGGTGTAGAGGGGCGGGTCTGGCGTGTGAAGCCGTGTGGCAGTGAAGGGGTTAGGTGTAGAGGGCTGGGTCTGGCTGTGAAGCCGTGTGTGCAGTGAAGGGGTTAGTGTGGTCAGTGTGGGTGTGGGGTTAGTGTAGCGGGCTGGGTGTGGCGTGTGAAGCCGTGTGGCAGTGAAGGGGTTAGGTGTAGCGGGCTGGGTCTGGCGTGTGAAGCCGTGTGGCAGTGAAGGGGTTAGGTGTAGCGGGCTGGGTCTGGCGTGTGAAGCCGTGTGGCAGTGAAGGGGTTAGGTGTAGCGGGCTGGGTCTGGTCCGTGGCGTGTGAAGCCGTGGCAGTGAAGGGGTTAGGTGTAGCGGGCTGGGTCTGGCGTGTGAAGCCGTGTGGCAGTGAAGGGGTTAGGTGTAGCGGGCTGGTTCTGGCGTGTGTGAGCCGTGTGGCAGTGAAGGGGTTAGGTGTAGCGGGCTGGGTGTGGGCGTGTGAAGCCGTGTAGCAGTGAAGGGGTTAGGTGTAGCGGGCTGGGTCTGGCGTGTGAAGCCGTGTGGCAGTGAAGGGGTTAGGTGTTGCGGGCTGGGTCTGGCGTGTGAAGCCGTGTGGCAGTGAAGGGGTTAGGTGTAGCGGGCTGGGTCTGGCGTGTGAAGCCGTGTGGCAGTGAAGGGGTTAGGTGTAGCGGGGCTGGGTCTGGCGTGTGAAAAACGTAGCAGTGAAGGGGTTAGGTGTAGCAGGCTGGGTCTGGCGTGTGAAGCCGTGTAGCAGTGAAGGGGTTAGGTGTAGCGGGCTGGGTCTGGCGTGTGAAGCCGTGTGGCAGTGAAGGGGTTAGGTGTAGCGGGCTGGGTCTGGCGTGTGAAGCCGTGTGGCAGTGAAGGGGTTAGGTGTAGAGGGCTGGGTCTGGCGTGTGAAGCCGTGTAGCAGTGAAGGGGTTAGGTGTGAAGCCATAGACATACATTCCCGTGTGATTCACATCCGCATGGACATACATTCCCGTGTGATTCACATCCGCATGGACATACATTCCCGTGTGATTCACATCCGCATAGACATACATTCCCGTGTGATTCACATCCGCATGGATATACATTCCCGTGTGATTCACATCCGCATAGACATACATTCCCGTGTGATTCCCATCCGCATGGACATACATTCCCGCGTGATTCCCATCCGCGTGCACATACATTCCCATGTGATTCACATGCAATTCCCAGCATGACACGGTCCCTAAATCCTATGGGACTCTACATTCCCAGCTGCGGTCAAAAGACAATCAAAAATATCCAATATAACATGTAACTTTGTATTCTATTCTATTCTATTCTATTTGTGTTTTGATTCTACCTGGTCTGCTGAGCTCTCTACATTCCCAGTTATGGTCAAAAGACAACCCAGAATATCCAGCATAACATGTAACATTCTATTCTATTCTATTCTATTCCTGTTTTGATTCTGCTCTGTCCTCTGTATCTCCAGTGAGGGTATAAACACAATACAAAGGATTACAAAAAACAAACAAACCCCCCCATATAAGAGAACAAGATCTAGTTGTATGGAATGCACTCACTGGGTGCGGCTCTGCTGCTGTGTATTCCTCTAGATCAGCGGTTCTCAACCTGGGGGTCGGGGGCCCCTTTGGGGGTCGAACAACCCTTTCACAGGGGTCTCCTAAGAGCATCGGAAAAACACATATTTCCGATGGTCTTAGGAACCGAGACACCGCTCCGCTATCAGTCTCCAGGCGGCTCCGCCCACATGCAGATACGCCCACATTTCCCTGGACCGCGATGTGTGCGCGGGATGACATGCCGCTCCTGTCATCTGGCCACATCCCGGGATCACTCAACAGCTCCGCCTCCTCGCCAGTGATTGGCCACCGGAACTGTAGCTCAGGAGAGGCACACAGGCGGCCAATCACCGGCGAGGAGGTGGAGCTTGGAGAGGAGGAGCCGAGCAGCAGCGCAAAGAGCAAAGAAGATCGAGAGAGGGAGCGGCCAGAGAAGGAAGACAGCTGACAGGTAAGTGTCTGTAGCGTGCAGATGGTGCTGCTGCAGCCAGGTATGCTGGCTGTAGATGGGAGAGGGAGGGAGCGAGCCCAGGCTGGAGCAGGAGTTAGCAAGGTAAGTATCATTGGTGTCAGTGGGAGGAATAGTGCCCCATCATCGGTGTCACTAATACCAATGATGGGGCACTATTCCTCCCACTGACACCAATGATGGGGCACTATTCCTCCCACTGACACCAATGATGGGGCACTATTCCTCCCACTGACACCAATGATGGGGCACTATTCCTCCCACTGACACCAATGATGGGGCACTATTCCTCCCACTGACACCAATGATGGGGCACTATTCCCCCCACTGATACCAATGATGGGGCACTATTCCTCCCACTGACACCAATGATGGGGCACTATTCCTCCCACTGACACCAATGATGGGGCACTATTCCTCCCACTGACACCAATGATGGGGCACTATTCCTCCCACTGACACCAATGATGGGGCACTATTCCTCCCACTGACACCAATGATGGGGCACTATTTCCTCCCACTGATACCAATGATGGGGCACTATTCCTCCCACTGACACCAATGATGGGGCACTATTCCCCCCACTGATACCAATGATGGGGCACTATTCCTCCCACTGACACCAATGATGGGACACTATTCCTCCCACTGACACCAATGATGGGACACTATTCCTCCCACTGACACCAATGATGGGGCACTATTCCTTCCACTGACACCACTGATGGGGCACTATTCCTCCCACTGACACCAATGATGGCGCACTATTCCTCCAACTGATACCAATGATGGGGCACTATTCCTCCCACTGACACCAATGATGGGACACTATTCCTCCAACTGATACCAATGATGGGACACTATTCCTCCCACTGACACCAATGATGGGGCACTATTCCTCCCACTGACACCAATGATGGGGCACTATTCCTCCAACTGATACCAATGATGGGGCACTATTCCTCCCACTGATACCAATGATGGGGCACTATTCCTCCCACTGACACCAATGATGGGGCACTATTTCCTCTCACTGACACCAATGATGGGGCACTATTCCTCCCACTGATACCAATGATGGGGCACTATTCCTCCCACTGACACCAATGATGGGGCACTATTCCTCCCACTGATACCAATGATGGGGCACTATTCCTCCCACTGACACCAATGGTGGGGCACTATTCCTCCAACTGATACTAATGATGGGGGCACTATTCCTCCCACTGACACCAATGATGGGACACTATTCCTCCCACTGACACCAATGATGGGACACTATTCCTCCCACTGACACCAATGATGGGGCACTATTCCTTCCACTGACACCACTGATGGGACACTATTCCTCCAACTGATACCAATGATGGGACACTATTCCTCCCACTGACACCAATGATGTGGCACTATTCCTTCCACTGACACCACTGATGGGACACTATTCCTCCAACTGATACCAATGATGGACACTATTCCTTCCACTGACACCAATGATGTGGCACTATTCCTCCCACTGACACCAATGATGGGACACTATTCCTCCCACTGACACCAATGATGGGGCACTATTCCTCCCACTGACACCAATGATGGGGCACTATTCCTCCCACTGACACCAGAGATGGGGCACTATTCCTCCCACCGACACCAATGATGTGGCACTATTCCTCCCACTGACACCAATGATGGGGCACTATTCCTCCCACCGACACCAATGATGTGGCACTATTCCTCCCCACTGACACCAATGATGGGACACTATTCCTCCCACTGGTACCAATGATGGGACACTATTCCTCCCACTGACACCAATGATGGGGCACTATTCCTCCCACTGACACAAATGATGGGGCGCTATTCCTCCCACTGACACCAATGATGGGACACTATTCCTTCCACTGACACCAATGATGTGGCACTATTCCTCCCACTGACACCAATGATGGGACACTATTCCTCCCACTGACACCAATGATGGGGCACTATTCCTCCCACTGACACCAATGATGGGGCACTATTCCTCCCACTGACACCAGAGATGGGGGCACTATTCCTCCCACCGACACCAATGATGTGGCACTATTCCTCCCACTGACACCAATGATGGGGCACTATTCCTCCCACCGACACCAATGATGTGGCACTATTCCTCCCACTGACACCAATGATGGGACACTATTCCTCCCACTGGTACCAATGATGGGACACTATTCCTCCCACTGGTACCAATGATGGGACACTATTCCTCCCACTGACACCAATGATGTGGCACTATTCCTCCCACTGACACCAATGATGGGGCACTATTCCTCCCACTGACACCAATGATGGGACACTATTCCTCCCACTGACACCAATGATGGGGCACTTTTCCTCCCACTGCAAAATTACAGTTATGAAGTAGCAACAAAAATAATTTGATGGTTGGGGGTCACCACAACATGACAAACTGTATTAAAGGGTCGCGCATTAGGAAGGTTGAGAACCACTGCTGTAAATGTACAGCCTCACCCTGATCATAGAATGTGTAAAATTTCAGAACTGGTTAAACTTCTGTGAAATCACATGACCACTTCTAGTTCTCCTGACATTCACTTGTTTCACCCCATGGCCCATCCCACGCCTGGAATCTACCTCCTGGTCTCAGCCTCCTCCAGCACTCCACTATGGTTGTGGGAGATGCATTCGGGTAGGGCTGGTGCTAGACTACTCTGCACCCTGGGCAAGGCCAGCTACTTGACCCCCGCCCAAAAAAAAATAAAAATTAAAAACAAATTAAACTGCAGAAAATATTAAATCAGCAAAACTAGCGCTACATTATTATTATTATTATTATTATACAGTATTTATAAAGCGCCAATAGTTGGCTCAGCGCTGTACATTACAAAGGGGGACAGAACATGTGACAGTACAATACCAATACAATGCAAAACATGAGGGGATCGAGGGCCCTGATCCTTGGAGCTTACAATCTAGGAGGGGGGGATGGTGGCACAGGAGGAGATAGCTGTGGGGGATGGAGTGGTAGGAAGAGTGGAGGAGGTCGGCAAGTTAGCAGGGGGTGGGGTAGGCTTCCTGAAGAGATGGGTTTTCAGGGTGCGCCTAAAGGAGAGGAGAGTAGGTGATAATCTGATGGGTTGGGGCAGGGAGTTCCAGAGGATGGGTGACACCCTGGAGAAGTCCTGGGTGGAGGAGACCAGGGAACTAGAGAGAAGGAGGTCTTGTGAGGAGCGGAGTGTGCATGTTGGGTGGTACTTGGATATTAGGTATCGGTGATTGTAGTTCCGGGGGCAGTATGGTGGACCGGCATTGTACGTCAGTGTTAGGGATTTCGAATTTGATCCGTTGCGCAATCGGAAGCCAGTGTAGGGGATTGGGCAGAGGGGGGTGGAGGACACTGAGTGGTAGGCCTGGAGGGATTGAGGCAAGAGGGGTGGAGGACAACTGAGTGGAGGCCATGGAGGGATTGGCAGAGGGGGGTGGAGGACACTGAGTGGAGGCCAAGTGGAGGGATTGGCAGAGGGGGTTGGAGGACACTGAGTGGAGGCCAGTGGAGGGATTGGGCAGAGGGGGGGTGGAGAACACTGAGTGAGGCCAGTGGAGGGATTGGCAGAGGGGGGTGGAGGACACTGAGTGGAGGCCAGTGGAGAGGGATTGTCAGAGGGGGGTTGGCGGAGAATGGAAGCGGTTGGGGGGAAAGGTGAATGAGATCTTGGCAGCCAGTAATTCAGGATGGACTAGAAGCGGGAGGGATAGCCTGTGGCGAGGCAGGCCAGAGAGGAGGGAGTTGCAGTAGTCGAGTCGTGATATGATGAGGGGAGGTAGATGAGGCTGTTTTAGTGGTTTCTGGGTTAGAAACGCGCGTATTTTGGGCGATGTTGCGGAGGTGGAGTCTGCATAGTTGGAGTGGAGGTGGAGTCTGCAGTGATGTGGAGGTGGAGTCTGCATGTTGTTGGAGGTGGGAGTCCCTGCATGTTGCCGGAGGGCGAAGTCTGCATGTTGTGGAGTGGAGTCGGACATATGCAAGTTGCGGAGGTGGAGTACCATGCACGGAGTTTGTTTAAAGATTGGTGGACTTGGGGCTGTAAGGATAGGATTGGAGTCCCAGAATGACACCAAGTACTCTGGCCCTGCGGGGCGGGTTTTGATGGTGGCGTTGATGGATGTGATGGAGAAGTCAATGGGGGGTGGAGATCCAGGCTGCGTGGTGGACAGATACTAGGAGGTCGGTTTTGGACAATGCTTCATGTTAAAGGAAGTGGACAGTGACATCCAGTCGTAGATATGATCGCTCAGTAGTTGTGTATGATTCGGTGGCGGAAAGACTGACAGTGGTGATAGTGACAGGCACGGAGTGACTGAGACGACATAGATTTGCGTGTCGTCCGGCATAGAGGTGATAGTTGAAGCCCGAGAGAGAGTAATGAACTTGGCCAACCAGAAAAAAAACCAAAAAAAAAAAAAAACAAAAAAAAAGAAAAAAGCAGAGAGAAAAAAAAAAAAAAAAAAAAAAAAAAGAAAAAACCAAACAAAAAAAAAATAAAAAAAAAAAAAAAAAAAAAAAACTAAAAAAAGAAAAAAAAGAAAAAATAAAAAAAAAAAAAAGACAAAGAAAAGAACAAAAAAAAAAGAAACAAAAAAAAAAAAAAAAGAAGAAAAAAATAAAACAAAAAATAAAAAAAAAAAAGAAACAACAAAAAGAAACCAAAAAAACAAAGAAAGCAAAAAACACAAAAAAAAAAAAAAAAAAAAAACAAGATAAAAAAAGAAAAAGAAAAAAAGAAAAATAAAATGAAGAAAAAAAAACAAAAAAAGACAAAAAGAAAAGAAAAAAAAAAAAAAAAAAGAAAAAACAACAAAAACACAAAAAAACAAAAAAACCAAAAAAGAAAGATAAAAATAAAAAAAATCAAAAATAAAAAAACAAAAAACCGCAACAAAGAAAACAAAATAAGAAAAAAAAGAAACAAACAATGAAAAAAAAAACCAAAACAAAAAAAAAAACATAAAAAAAAAAAAACAAAAAAGAAAAAAACAAAAAGAAAGAAGGAAAAAAGAAAAAAACAAAAAAAAAAAAAAAAAAAAAAAAAAAACAAAAAAAAGACAAAAA